AAAATAAAGGAATATGGATGTACATTGGGATGGACACTCTATCTCGGTAATTCTAAATCTCTGATCTGAAATACCCCTTGTACGTAATGGCGTTGGAAAATAAAGGAATATGGATGGACATTGGGAACTAGGACCATCGAGAAAGAGACCTGCAATAGGTTATACCCTATCTTTTGAAGCAACACTTGTAACAGGTGAGCATTCTCGAATACAAAGAGCAGTGACAGAAGTCGTCCATGTGCTCCAGGCAACAGTACGCAACATAATCAAAAAGGATATCCGACTGGAAGAACGACTCAAGGCAAGTGTGCAGAAGTTTCTATTCCAAAAGAAGCCATACCGGTTAATGTTTCTGTGCGATCAGACTGTTGAAACAGCCACTGGAAAACCGAAGTTCTCGTACAGTAGATATGTCATGGAAATAAAGCAGGGAGTAGTGGTATTGATTTGACTTCGCTGTCTTACCAGTAAGCTAGCTATTTGCAATGGAAACTAAGCTGAAGAGCTATTGCCCTCATGTACAGCCGTTAGATAAAGCTGAGTGTTTTGTGTTTTGAATGAGAGGTTGATATAATTGCGTTGTTATAAATATCAAGTTATATTATCATGAACCACCGTGTGAGGGCGTATATGAAAGTTTCACAAGAATGTGACTGAACTACGAAAAGTCCCTTGGGGGGGGCAACGGTAAATCTACGGTCTTACAGCGCTAAAAGCTGCGGTTCGATTCTCTTCAGTGGACACAGCAGATAGCCAAGTGGCTTTGCTCTAAAAACAACAAACAAACTGGACGATAAAAAAGAATATAAACATATGTTTGAAAATCGTAGTTCCAAATTATACTCAACACTTTATAATCATTATTCCAGATACGATTTTGTTTATTCTTTGTATAGGATGCTGGTATACGAGTTTAGTTAAGGGGTGAACAATAAAACTTTTAATTTTCATACTCTTACCAGTAATATTTTTCAAAACATACTGATGTAGCGTCAGAGTTTCAATACATTTACAAAACTGTCCTTGTATCATTAAGGGTGAAATATTTGTGGGTCTTAGTGTATTCAAAGTTTGAAAAGCTACAAGGAAGCGAAGGCCTGTAACAGGGTTTTAAAGCTACAAGGAAGCGAAGGCCTGTAACAGGGTTTTTATAAACTTCCTTTCTAATCCCAATAATTGGCGTAAAAGTGAAGACAAATTATACTCGTAAGCAATGGTACTATATCTTAATGTTAGTTACCGGAGGCGAGGGTAGAACAGAGGGTGAAAATAGGACGTTGTTCCGAAGCGCTGATAGTAACTATAACCTATATTATTATCACTGAGGTTTATCTTATGTTTTATATGTTACTAGCTGACAGTGCTCGTTAAGGAAGCAAAAACTGTATAAAGGACAATGTTACCCTTCATCTTTTGTTTTGTTATTAAATCCCTACTGACCTCATTAGACGCCAATTGTTGCACTCTGTTTTGATGCGAGTATTTATTGTAAAAATACAAATTTTAAATGTTTGGTATGTTGAACATAACATGTGGAAAAAGTCTTATTCACAAAATTTTCTAAATATTTCGCGTTTGAAGCATATGTTGAATGCATAGGGTGCATATAACCAACTGGCTTTGGTGTTTTTGGATTTTTTCACTGAAGTTATCAATGGAGAATTTCTTAGACATGGGCTAATAGGGTCTTTAGTAACATCGGCCGTGTAAAGGATATAGAAATATCTAAAGACTCTGTCTTCCCTATGTTTGCTAATGGGATGCCAAATGGGAGACTCGATCCTATTCAAATTAGTATGTACTGGTTGATACTCATAGTCTTATCCAGAGTTTTCTTGATGCACATTTTTTTTTGCCATTTAGAGAAGTGCGATCGTTTCTCGTTCATGTGCACACGACCATTGACTAAGTTGTGTTTGTTTTCTATGTTGAATAACTAAATTATTTTAATTTTTACCGTGAAAATTGTGTTGTTGTTTTTGCTTTCTTTATTCAGGTCATAATTCACTGTAACTGTGTAATACATTTTCTGCTGAACTTCTAATTAGAGTAGATGCTACTTTTACCTTTAAAACACAGTGCACTTGCGAATACCACACGTGCAGTATCTATGATAAAACAGAGGATTAGGGTTTTATATATTACCTAGTTTAAGTCAAAAACATATATTCCTATTTTACAGTTTGCATAGATAAAAATAATTGAAAAAGAGTTGTTAAATAAAACAACGTACAATGGTGTTTCAGCGAATTAGGAAGATCATGATTTATTTTTATGGGCACGAAGACAAATCTTCATAAGAAAATACGTTTTATGTACTTTTTAAATAAATATATTCTCAATTAAGTTTACACTGTTACAGTTGTTCTTGATTAGAGGTCTATGTTTAATGTCACATTAATTTCCTAAATTCTTTTGCCACTAGTTAGATATAATGTATCTCATTTCCCCACCCCGTCATTTTTTTACTACTTTAATTACATTTGTTTATATCTTGGATCTTGGGAGTAAGTTATTTTGAAAGCCATTCAAAGCTGATTTTACATTTTTAATTATTAAACTTTCCAAAAGTGTGCATATAGAACTTTCATCTATACATTCATGCCACTAATATAAAGGGTACTTGCACTGGTTAAGGATAAAGCAAAACATTCGTCTTTTTTTTTAGCCTGGAGAAGGGTAATAAGCATGCATATCTTACACATAATTAACAAACTTAGTAAACAGAAAAACTTACCGTAGTTTTATTTGTTCTGTTTTATTTTGGCTACAAAACTATAGTATTGTTTGAAAGAATACGGAACCATCCAGTAGTTTGGAAACAGGGATGTTTTTGCATATAAGATTAGAATAAACACTCGTAATCAAATTACAGGTTATAATAGTAATCAGTGTTCCCTATAAGCTGCGCGACGGCACAACAACCAATCAAATGCCGCGCACTTCATTATTCGAACCGCGCACATCCTCAATAAAATAATAATATAAAAAAAAAACTGGTAGCGCACGTCTGCACATTACTTTGATACTGGTGCATGTGAAAAAATTCATTCCGCACATGGATTAAAAATACTAGAGGGAACATTGATAGGAATACATCAATAATAAGTTGTTGTACCATTGGGCACGTATAACTGTAACCATGATGTAATTATAGTGATACGTCAATAATAAGTTGTTGTACCACTGGGCACGTATAACTGTAACCATGATGTAATTATAGTAATAAGTCAATAATAAGTTGTTGTACCATTGGGCACGTATAACTGTAACCATGATGTAATTTTAGTGATACGTCAATAATAAGTTGTTGTACCACTGGGCACGTATAACTGTAACCATGATGTAATTATAGTAATAAGTCAATAATAAGTTGTTGTACCATTGGACACGTATAACTGTAACCATGATGTAATTATAGTAATAAGCCAATAATAAGTTGTTGTACCATTGGGCACGTATAACTGTAACCATGATGTAATTATAGTGATACGTCAATAATAAGTTGTTGTACCATTGGGGCACGTATAACTGTAACCTTTGTCCTCAACAACTTTGCATATTCATGACACTCTATCAGTCAGTTTACCAAAATATTCATGTGGTAGAACAATCTAGGATTTATGAATGTAATACCACAGTTGTGTTACATCATGTGACGTCTTAATGGTTTCACATACTTGTCGATTACATCTCTCACGGCCCCCAGTGGTACAGTGGTACGTCTCCACTAGAAACCAGGTTTCAATATCCGTGGTGTGCAGAGCACAGATAGCCCATTGTGTAGTTTTGTGCTTAACTTCAAACAAACATCTCTCAAGAGTTTAATAGGTGAGAACATGGTGACTGTGGTGGACAAATCACGTTTTGTTCCTTACCTTCTGTGGCTTAGATGCATGCTTATGGTCATTATTCTGTTGGAAAATGAAACCTTGGACATCAAGTATAACTCCAGGAGCACTGCACGGTTTTGTAGGATAGTGAAATAATTCTATTTTCTACATTGTATCCGCCATTTTCTAACTGTCCTGATCTGTTTGTTGCCAAAAACAGCTCCAAACCATGACATATTCATCTCTGTACTTAACTGTAGGAAGTATACAGAATATTCCCTTTGTAATTTGCGAGATTGGTATCAAGTTACATTTTAGTCACTAGAAACTAATGTTAAGTGAATGTAATCAGATTTTGATTGCATCCTTCTGTGTCCAGTTACGTAAATTAATATTTAATACTATTATAATCAATAAAGTGAGTTACACTTGGGTTTATTTTCGTATCTTCTCGGAACTTGCAGTATTATAGAAAGCTTCAGTTAGCCGCATTATCTATTATCAGTCTTGCTGTGCTGATGTTATTTGGTGTGGCAGTGTTTCGTTTTGAAAGATAAATGCTGTTTAGAACCGTAGTTGCAGACAGACACAGACAAAATATAAACTGTTGTCGAGAACGTATCCAGAAAATCATCCTAGCTACTCCATTATCAAACGTATATTAATTAGTTGTTTTTATATCTTAAAATCAAAAACTGTTTCGTATATCAGTGACGATTGTGGTATTGTTATTCCTTGAATGTAAATTACAAATGCTGGAGTAATTAAACGATGGCTTTTAGCCTTAATGTATACTTTTCATTCAGGTAGGCTTAACTCGCATCAGGCTTAATTAGCAACTTGTTAACAGACTGTGATTGTCCATTATGTATCTGTGTTAAAGACTTACCACTCGAATAACAAGAAAATTAAGCACTTCGTGTCTTTAGTATATAGTGACTCAAAAAATCTGAATAGTTAACATAAGTAATTGGAAACTTTCTTTCTTTCCAGGCACTATTAGTAGTGATATCACGTTATATGCTCCGTTTAACTGGGGAGGATTACAAGGAAATGTTACGTTCTTTCAAGAAACTCCGGAAAGTGAGGTTGTTATTTCTATTCACCTAATACCGAAGACCATCGAACCTAAAGAATATCGATGGGGTGTGTATGCGTTTCCTGTTGCTTTTGACGAAAGTGAAGCATGTTCGACTAAAAATCTCGGTAGAACGTAAGTGAAATTCAGTTTAAATAGATGAATACATTCTCATTAATGTACGTAATACTTTCAGTTCAATAAGTTTGTTTTCTCATCTTGAAAGAGGCCCCGGCATGGCCAGGTGGTTAGGGCGCTCGACTCGCAATCTGCGGGTCGCGGGTTCGAAACCTCGTCACACCAAACATGCTCGCCCTTTCAGCCGTGGGGACGTTATAAGATGACGGCCAATCCCACTATTCGTTGGTAAAAAGAGTAGCCCAAGAGTTGGCGGTGGGTGGTGATGACTAGCTGCCTTCCCTCTAGTCTTACACTGCTAAATTAGTGACGGCTAGCGCAGATAGCCCTCGTGTAGCTTTGCGCGAAATTCCAAAAAACAAACAAACATCTTGAAAGAAGAGAATGTAAGTTTGTTCATTCATATTATAAGCCTGAAAAAGTCTAATGAACGAATAATTTTTTTTCT